ATTAAACGGTTTCATTGTGAAACCGTTTAATAAACACATATAAAATAGTTTTCTAGAAAAATCGTTTAGTAAATGCCTACAAAGCTAAACGGTTATGTCAAAAAAATTGATTTGTATGTTCAGGTATCATATATTAAACGGTCATATTAAATAACTATTTAATATTTTTTAGGTATATGCAATGGTTACAATTTAGAACTGTTTAATATTGATATTCGAATTTCCCGCCTCCCTTATTCAACGCTATATATTTAATATTTTGTAGTAGTGTTATTGAATTTACTATTTAATTTTTTAATTGATAATTGCAGTAAATAAATATATTAATGTAGTAATAATGCTCAACTTATCAAATTATACCAGAGTAAAAATAATTTATATATCAAGCACATCAATATTTTTGAATAAATAATTTTATGATAGATATCAAGTACATAACATTTAATATATCTTAGAATTTTTGTTGCAATATTAACAAAGTTTATTAATAATAATTTTCATAATTTTTTCATCAAATATAAAATGAAAGCAAAATGAAATGACATCAACACTTTAAGAACATGTATAGCATTATTTTGTTGAAAATAAGTAGATTATATGAAAACCACATCTTCAAACTCCTGAAATAGTTACTCTATACATACATAAAAGATTATATATAGAATTGAAATGAAAATTTCATCTAGTGTTTCATAACATTTATAATGTGCTAACTTAGGAGAGTCAAAAATATATAACTCTTATATTTGATTAAAAAAATTAAAAAGTCTGGGGGCTGTGATCCCTGTCGGTCCCACCTCTCTCCACCATTAGTCTAGCCTAATAAGAGGTTTTGATTTGTGTTTTAGCTATGCAATAATGATTAAATTTTCAGTAAGTAGTATGCTCCTTAAAGAGGAGCCTGTAAGTAGGGATGTGAATAGGCCAAGCATATAATAAGGGCATATAGCTTAACCTACTTTAGCCCTAACATAACCTATTTGTTAAATAGGCTCAGGCTAGGTTCAGGCTTGTAATTAAGCTTATTTATTATTTTTTTAAGGCATAACCTACTAGCCTAAGAGGCCAACCTATTTACACACACATTATGTAATATATCCCAAACACATTAATTTTACCATTTGATTTTTAATTAATCTATTTCTTTTTATTTCTAGTTATATTTTTAATTATATTGAACTTATATATTAATTTTAATATTATTACTTTATTGTTATATTGTATTGTACTTGGCAAATCTTTTCAATTACTTTATATTATAATTGATAAATCAGGTTATATATTGTATACTATAATATTCATACAGTATATTTAATACGTTTACAACTAAAATGTAAGTTTATTTAAAAGTATTACTTTTAAATAGGCTTTTAAATAAGCTTTAAGGTTAGGTCAAACTTTAGATAAACTTAAGTTTGAGCCGTGAAAAAAGTCTTGTGCAGGTTTCATATCAGGCTCAGACTTTTGATTTATCATATAAGCTTAAACTTATTTAATCAAAATTTAATTTAACTTAACTTATTTTTACTCCTATTCATAAGCCATCAATCGAATTAGTCTAGGGTAAAAACTTAGAATTTGGGGGGGGGGGGAGCAGTGCTCTACTTCCCTTATTATTACCGCAAACATTCCTTTTTTTGTCCCAAAAACACAATAATTAAATAATGGTGCTAAAAAGTACAAATAAAAGCTGTATAAATCTTTCGTCGTACGCGCTTTGAATTTTCGGCTGTCATTTTCTGGGATAAAAACCACTGTCTTTTAATCAAAATAAAAAGTCTCGCATAGTGAGTCAAAGCAACGTGGTTAATTTGTTCTGATTTTTTCGCTTTTTTTTTTTCAATAATTGTAGTTAACTAGATTACATCAACCTATTGCAAATTAAAGAAATCCTAATATATGTATAATGAACAAATAATCAATTTATTAATAAGGTACATGAGGACTAAATTAATTAAATATATTGAAAAGTATAACATAAATTAAAACAACTACATACATGAATAAAATATGCATAACTCACAAATTAAAGACTAATCCAATTGGTAAGAATTTGACTCATAATTCTAAGTGATCAAATCCCGTTGCTAATTGTGGATCTCATTAGCGGGTGATCTGTAAGTACCTAAGCATTTTTTGAATTTGGAAATATACTTTGATTCTTGTAAGCCTTCATAATCCAATCCAACTAATCTTTATTTTATAAAAGAAAAGATGCATAACAACTTACAAAAAAAAATGTAGAATTCTTAAATTAAAAATCAATTTTAATTTCATATTACTACATGTCAGTAAGATCATTATGACAATTATGAACCCTGTAAAAATATTAATAACAATTATAAATCTTAAATTATTGAAATCCTAATAAAAACTATGGTCTTTACTTGTAATTAAATGTAAATACTTACTTAAAAAATATACTAACTATACTTGAAATTATTTGTAATGTGAATTGAAAATTTATGAAAGTTAGTTGAGAATATTAAATTTTTATTGTCAATATACAAATGAGTCACTTAAAAAATTAAATAAATATACTTGGGGTTATTTGTAACTTTAGTTGAGAATTTACAAAAGTTAGTTGTAAATTGCAAACTAATTACTTATAATTTTTTATGTTCAATATACAGATACATTACTTGAGAAATTTACTGAATACACTTGAGATTATTTATAACGTTAGTTGGTAGTATATAAAAGTCAGTTGTGAATGACAAATTAATTATTTATTATTTTTTGCTAACACTTGGGAAATTAATAAAAGATGATTGGAAAGCTTCGTAACATTAGTTGAGAAGTTACTAGAGTCTGTTGTGAATCTCAACTTAATTAATAAAATATATTCCCTCTGTTCAAAAATATAAATTATTTTTAACTGAATCTCACCCTCAATAAAGTATTTATCTACTTTCAAATTAATTCTATCTTTTCATATTTACCCCTATTAAATACTTTACAATAAATATAAAGTCATTATTAACAGGAGTACTTTTGAAAAAAAAGGCAATGATTACATCTCGAAAGACTAAAAATGCCTTACATTTTTTAATATTCAACTTCTATAAAAATGCTTTACATTCTTTAACAGAGGGAGTAATTTATTACAAATAAGGATAATGATCTATTGTTAGATTTTTAATAATTTAAAGTCTATAATTATCATTAATATTCTTACAGAATCCCTAATTGTCATCTCCCCAACATTTTCTAACATTAGAATGGTGCTGGAAATAAGTCATTCTTGTTGAGCAGAAAGGGAAGGATTTAGACCAAGTAAGTACACATGTTAATTTTTGAAATGTAGTGTAGATCATCCAAATTTATATATGGTTTAACTTTAAAATTTTAATTTTTTAGAATAAAATACTCTGACTTTCTTTCTATTTTATCTTAATGATAGATACTCCTCTATTTTTAAAACTTATATGAATCTCCCCTAATATAAATAATTACAAAACACAAGATTTTTCTTATTTTTAAAATTTCATTTCCATCCAACCAAATGTTAAGTTACATATGTTAGATCAAGTACCCCTTCTTTAAATATAAATATTATCTAAAAATAATTCAAATTATCAAAAGAAAATTAATGCATGTATATTGTTACTTTTTTTATTTATATTTTAAACTTTTTAGCTATACAAATGTATTTATTTAATAATATTTTCTAAAATTTAAATACATAAATTGGTCAAAATAATATTTCAAAGACAAAGTTAAAAAATTTAATTAAATACCAACAAGCACATAGCTTAACTGGTAAGAGATTATACTAGCTTAATCAGTGTTTTTGACTTCAAGTCTTAAGTATACAGCTATGTTAAATACTTGTTGGGAGAACTTTATGGCCCATGTGGTCCTACCCAACTTGGCCAATGAATAATGGATAATTATACAAAAAACTTAATTAAATAAGGATTTAATGTAATAAATTAATGTATGTAATTTATATTTATTTTTAAAATTTTATTGGATAAGATATCAGTTTAACACTTTATTGATTTAACTAGATGAATTAATCTAAAGTTTTATACTATGATTTCTAATCAATCTCAGGACTATCTTCTAAGCAACTTCTCATAGTTAATTTGTTTGACAATTTAGAGAATTTTCTTTTTGTAGTTTCCAAGCAAATCCAAGGCAACATATAATGAGAAAAGTAACAGACTCTTGATTGTTATTATTTTTCTATATCTAAAAGACTCTTGATAATTTTGAGCTTGTTTGGCAACCTATTCAGCGAACAGTTTTTTGTTCTTCAAAAAAAAAAAAATCTATTTAGTAACATGTTTTTAAAAGTATTTTGGAGAGCAAAAAAATAAAATATTGTTCTGCAGAATGAAAAAAATGAAAACATCTTTTATGTGTTCTAGGATTACTGTGCTGGAGAATAAGGGAAAATGAAAAAAAAACTTATTTTCATTAATTTTTTTTCAAAATATGTTCTATAAAATATCAGTTTTTAAAATAATAAAATAAAAACATTCTCAAACAAATACTTTCATTCTTACAATACTTCCTAGTCTTCCCTCTCTTTCTCTCATGCACACAAAATTAATTTTTTTTTACTATATACGTTGTTTTGTTTAAATTTATCCATTAATGTGTGTGTGTGTATTTACTCCTGTTGTATTTGCTTCTTCTCAATAAAAAGTAAATCGGCAAAACTATTGATCTAGAAGGGAGGATTTTAAATTCATTTTTTATATAATATTTTTTTAATTTTTAAAAATAATGTAACCCAATCTTTGTTGTCGTCCAAAGTTAATCCTGAATGTTTGTTGACAAAAATAATAAAAAATGACTAATTTAATAATTACATGATATAAATAAATATCTAAAAAGTAGAAAAAAAGTTAAGAAAACACAATAAAGTAATGAAAAGCATCATGTGACGAACGCGTAAGACTAGAGAGAAGACTTGGAATTCCGGTATTATTTATTCTTTCATCTTAACTCAATGCACACAAGAGTTCCATTGGGCTCACTCTCTCCATTTTGCTTTCTCATATTTTCTCCATTTTTCTTTCTCTGAAATTTGTAGCAGGCTGCTCGATTTTATCTTATATCACTTCAAAATCCGACAAATCTTTCTATATTACTTCATCCTTCAGGTTTCTACTCACTTCCTTGCTCCGTTTTAGATTTCTTCTGTGAACTGAATGGTTTGGATCTGTGAGATTTCGCTTTTCTTTGAACATCCAGCGTCAAAGAGAAAGAATATATATACAGATTCTGCTTCCATTTAATTGATTTTTTCTTCCTTCTATGTTTCTTTTCTCTCTTTTATGCCTGGATGCCGATGGATGTAATTGTAATTTGCATGGTTGAGCTTTCAAATTGTTGTTATGGCACTTGAAGCTCATGGAGTTGACTACCCTTCAAGCTCTTCTGGCTCAGCCAAGACATGGAAGTATCATGTGTTCTTGGGTTTTCGAGGAGCAGACACTCGTAAAAGCTTTACAGATCACTTGTATTGCACTTTACAACGCAAGGGAATGATAGCTTTCAGGGATGATGAAGAACTTGAGAGGGGACAAGTTATTAAACCAAGTCTATTCCAAGCAATTGAAGAATCTCTTTCTGCAATTGTTGTTCTCTCTCCAAACTATGCTTCTTCCTCCTGGTGCTTGGAAGAGCTCTCAAAGATTCTTCATTTTAAAAAAGAGTTGGGTCTTCATGTATTTCCAATCTTTTACGGTGTCGATCCGTCTGATATTCGACTTCAAAGAGGAAGTTTTGCAAAAGCATTTAAAAAGCATGAAGAAAAACTTCCACAAGATAAGATGAGGGTACAAAATTGGAGGGATGCTTTGAAAGAAGTTGCTGACTTATCTGGCTGGCATTCTATCAATTGGTAATTTTTTGAACTTTCAATAATTATCATGAACATTTTTTAAATAATATTAAGGGTGTGGTTGTGAAGGATATTTCCTTTCATGTTTAATTTGTGTACTGCATAATATTTGTGTGATTATAAAAAAAATGAATATTAAGGGTGTGGATATTAATTACTTTAAACTATTTAAAAATTGTTGTCAGCTGTTATAATGTGATTATATATATATATATATATATATATAAGGACAACATATTTTTTATTCCTAGAGTTTTGGTCTTTCGTTAAGATCCTAAATTTTTTTCATTAATTAAGAAATATGTCCTTAAAGGTAATCATACTTAACTTTGGTCATTGTCTCGGAGATATATCATATATCACTTATTTAACAACGATGCTTGATGACAATAGAGATTTTGACCAAAATTGACTATAATTTTATACATAGATTTCTTAATAATAACAAAAACTACAGTTCCTTGACCTATATTGACCAGAACTCTAGATATTAAAAAAACAAAAACAAAAACAAAAACAAAACAAAACAAAACCGGTTTCCCTTGTATAAAATTCAAATATAAAATCTATGAAAAGTCAGATTGTTTATGAACCATGATTAAATTGACTCGCCTCAAACTCCTTGCAAATCCCTATTCATAATCTACTTTGTAAAAAAAAAAAAAAATCTATGGCGAGGCTATTTAGCAACATTCACCAAAAACAATTAGGAACCCAAGTTTGAGTGTAGCTTTTACAATTGATAGGTCCTATCATAAAACAAATGAGAGGAAAAATAATTTTAAGTTTTGAAATAAGGCTGACAATAATATAATTTATTCTTTTCTATTACAAACCCAGCTATATAATATTGCATTACAATAATTTTAAAAAATATGATAAATGTATGTTAAGGTTAACTTATGGTACGTGGTTGAACTAAAAATGTTACTTGTGCGACCATGTTTTCATTATATCAAATTAACTATTTTGTTTTATATAAATTAAAATTCAATTGACTTAATGTTAAAGACTTACTTTATATTCCTTTGCAGGCATGAAACAAAACTCATTGAAGATATTATTGAAAAATTGTCGTCAAAAATATACAATGAACTTCCATTTGACTCTGAGAGATTAGTTGGAATTGAATCAAAACTTGCATGCTTAAATTCAATTATAGAAAATGGATTGGATGAAGTTCGATTTATAGGAATATGGGGCACTGGTGGTTTAGGTAAAACTACTCTTGCAAGAGCTTTCTATGAGAGAACGTATAAAGACTTTGAAATTCATTGCTTTTTGTGTAATGTTAGAGAGGTATATGAAAAAGGTGGTTTGATTGCCTTGGAGAAAAAGCTTCTTTCTTCTTTGTATAAAAAGGATGTGGATGACCATCATGAAGGAAGGATGTTGATAAAAAACATGTTAAGCAATAGGAAAATTCTTCTTATCCTTGATGATGTGAGTGATATAAGCCAACTTGAGAATTTGGCGGGAAATCAAGGATGGTTTGGGAAGGGGAGCTTAATAATAATAACAACAAGAGACAAGCATTTGTTATTATCACATGGTGTATCTACTTGGTATAACATCAAATTCTTGAGTGATGATGAATCCCTTGAACTTTTCCATCAAATTGCTTTTAAAGGAAGTAAGCCAAGTGAAGATTTTTTGGAGCTTTCTAAAACTGTGATTCACTATGCAAGCGGCCTTCCTTTGGCGCTCAAAGTGTTGGGTTCATTTCTTTGCGGAAGAAATACATTAGAATGGAGAGATGCAATAGCTAAATTTAAGAAAGTTCCTCCGAATGACATCTTGAAGATACTTAAAGTTAGTTTTGATGGATTGGAAGATGATGAGATCAAAACTATATTTTTAGATATTGCTTGCTTTTTTAAGGGGATGAACAAAGATTATGTCATGCAAATCTTACAAAAATTAGATTTACATCCAATAATTGGAATAAAAGTTCTGGTTGATAAATCTTTGATAATTATTGATCATCTTCACAATACTTTATGGGTTCATGACATGCTTGGGGAAATGGCTAAGAACATTGTTGTTCAACAATCATCCCATGATGTTGGCAAACGTAATAGGATATGTTCATTGGAGGATGCTAATCATGTTCTAGAAAGCAATACGGTAATACTTATTTTCTGGGCCCTATTAGCATATAATATAATGCTCATAATTTTTTATGACTATGCACTTTTTATTTAGTAAATTGTTCCATGCGACGTCACTAACTTGATTTTTTTTCCTTTTTTTTTATTTAGGGGACAGAAGCAATTCGAGGCATCGTGTTAAGATTAGACAAACCATGTGTCTCCAATTGGGATCCTAAAGCCTTCATAAAGATGAGTAATCTCAGATTACTTATCATAAAAAGTGGTTGGCAACGGCATGCTGATCCGGCTGGTTATTTGAATCTTCCTCGTGGGCTTAAATTCTTTCCAAGTACATTAAAAGTGTTAGAATGGAAGCGATGCTGTTTAGGTACTTTCCCAGGTCAAGTTCTTAAACAACCACAGGTAATTAATTATGGCCTTTCTATTAAAGATAGTATATGTAATTTTGAAACAACTGATACTTGTTTAAGAATTTTTTTTATTTGTATCTTTTTTTTCAGGTTTTAGGAAAGCTTAAGCACCTTGATTTAAGCCATTCAAAATATCTAATCAAAACACCAAATTTTGATGAAATCCCTGATCTTGAAATAGTCATTCTTGAAGGTTGTGTAAACCTTGTTGAAGTCCATTCATCTCTTGGATGCCATAAGAATCTTGCCACACTCAATTTGAGGGGTTGTAAGAGTATTGAAACTCTACCAAGAAAGTTAGAGATGAAATGCCTAAAGACTCTTGTACTCTCAGGCTGTTCAAAAATCAAACGACTTCCTGAATTTGGGAAAAGCATGGAGTGTCTATCCCAACTTGATGTGGAGGAGACTGGTATCACAAAACTACCTCAATCACTTGTCAATTTGACTACTCTTGCTGTTTTAAATCTTATGGATTGCAAAAGTCTGGTATACCTTCCCAATGTGATTCAATATATGAAGTCTATTAGAATTCTCAATTTTTCTGGTTGCTCAAAACTTTCAAGTCTTCTAGAGGTTTCGACTGAAAATGTGACTTTAGAAGCGCTTGATGCTAGTGGAACTGCTATCAAGGAAGTGCCTTCCTCAATTTGTCAGTTGACAAATTTGAAATCACTATCTTTTAGTGGATGCACTGGACAAGAACAATCATCCTCACAAAATTTCTTTTCCAATTTTAGTTGGTTCCCTAGGATTACAAGGCCTTCAATATCCACTGGGTTATTGCTGCCCGCTTCTTTACCAAGTTTATCATCATTAACAAACTTAGATTTAAGTTATTGCAATCTCTGTGATGAGTCCCTTCCTAATGATTTTAATGCATTGTCATCGTTGGAGGTGCTTGATCTACGTGGAAACAATTTTGTTAACCTACCTAGTGGCTTTATCTCTAATCTTTTAAGTCTCTGGGGCGTTTTCTTAAGTCATTGTCCAAGGCTTCAGTCATTGCCACGACTTCCACCAAATATATGTAAGACAGATGCGGCTGATTGTCCTTTAGTGACACCTAAACTTGGTCTACAACAGCTGTGGGAATTGCTTGAACAATTTGAAGATAAGGTTGGTTTGATTTTCTCATTAGGATGTTTCTTACACATTATAGTCATTATACTTCTCTAAAATATATACAAAAATATAGCTTCAAAATAGCACGAATGTAAAAGAGCGTTACATTTTGGATATTCTTAAAAGTTTTATTATGTGGTTGTTTCTTGAATATTATAATCGTCACACTTCTTTAACATGTTAAAAATATTTGTTCCAGGATGGCTTCATGTCAAAATGGTGGTTCTTTTTACAGATTCCAGGAAGTGAAGTGCCATCATGGTTTTATAATCAAAATTACTTCCATGACAAGACTTCTCGTTTTAAATCAAATGTGTCATTGATAGCGGATATAGATGATCAATGCCTTTCAAGTAAATGGTGTGGAATAGCTGTATGCTTAGTTGTAGAAAGACGTCATTATCCACCTCTTAAAAATTGTTATATTGAAGTATTGGTTTGGGAATGTGAATTTCCTTGGCGGTGTGGGAAGCTTATTTTGAGTTTCGGCATAACAGCCAACTCATTTTATTATTCATTCCATGCTTTGATAAGGGAAAACATCAATTTTCTTTTAATGTTGGAGATCGGCTAAAAATAAGGAAGTATGGGTGGGCGTGTGTGTGTCAAAAAGATGTTGAAGCATTACGAAGAACAATGGGTGACAGGATGCAGCGGCAGCAGTGATTCAGATGACTGCCACACTCTTAATGATGATGATGTGGACATCCAAACACCTCTTGCTAAACGCCAAAAATTCGAATAAATGGTTTCAGGTACACACGTCAGCATTATCTTTTTTTTTTTTTCTCTTTTCTTTATGGATATCTAATGCTGTTTTTGTTACATATATAATATCAGTAACATTGACATTATTTGCATACGATACGACTAATGGCAGTCGTTGGTTAAAAAATTATTGTATTATTAATCTTTACAGTGTCAAACAATTTTGATTTCATCTTTATAATATAAAATTTAAATAATTTTTAATTCAATCTTTATTATTATATTTTATCAATATATTGCTACATATTTGAAAATATTTAGCTATACATATAAAACTCAATACTTATAAAACTTCATCAACATGGACCTATTTTAAAAAATATGTAAATGATGAATGTACAAATATTAATGTTAAGAAAACTAAATCGGTTATTGAATCGACAGAGGTATTCATTCACGGTTCAATGGTCAAATCATGATTTGAACCATAAGTCAACTAGTTATGAATAAATTGATCTATTTTAAATTTTAAACAATATATGTTTATAATAAAAAGAAATAATTATATATTATAATAAAAATGAATTTTTAAATTTCAAACAAGATCATAAAAAGATAAAAAAGGAAATATACATTAATATTCCATCATTTAAATCCAATATACATATACTTATTTCATAATTTACAATTTATAACTTTAAAATATCTGCATATTTACATATTCTATACATATTTCTTGCATATTTGTTCTTTTTCTTCATTTATCAATGTTTATTATGTATAATATGCATAAATTTTAGTTTATAAATATGAACTAAAAAATTTTAAAAAAAAATATCAGGACCATTCAACTAGATTTTTCACTAATTTTGATCTATTCAAAACCGGTTCTATCAATTCTTGATTGGTTTTCATTTTAGCCAATTCTCTGTTGCAACTAGATTGGACTTAAGATTGATTTCTAGTTCAACTGGTTGAACCTGTCGGTCTCGTCTGATCTTAACAATACTAACAAATATAAACTTTTAAACTCATTCATTTGATTTATTTTATATGCAAGCTACAAGAAAAGTTTTATTTTTGTTTATCATTTACTCTTTAGCTGAAGATTCACTTATCATAATTGTTCACTTTGAAGTTCTTTTTCTTGTAGGTTTTTTCTTTGCAAGGATCTTTGTGATTGAATGGTTCTTGAAGTTGGTTCCTGTGAGCTTTTTCTTATAGTGTTTTTTAAGCTTTATTTTTCAAGTTGAGCGTGAATTTAACTAAACAACAAGAGATGTTGCCTATTGATCATTTGGTTTAACTACATCTTTCTATACTGAACTTGGTTTTGAGGATTAGCTTCTCATTACCTTTAATGTGATTTAATGTGGGACTTCTTAAAGTATATGGTGTGATTTGATGTTTTTTAAATTATGCTTGCAAACTCGACATTATTACAGAAATGGGTTGTATGACTTGCATGATTGCACATATAGGAGCATTTTTTCCTGAAAAAAAGTTCTTGCACATATGACTAGAACAGGGACCGTTTTAAAATATAAAGGTTCCTTGAAAAAAAAAGAAATATATATATATATATATATATATATATAAAGGTTTCCGTAATACATTTGAGAGTTTTAAGATGCATACATTCCTGTGTACCTTTTCATTTTTGTTTTCCCCTGTTTTTTAATGCTTGGGAACCTCTACTTTGACAAACACCCCTTGAATAAATTTTTTTAATTTTTTTATAAAAAATTGTATTGCTGGAATCGTTTTGACAAAAAACACTCCTACAATAATTTTTATATTTTTACATTTTTGAGATTATTTTAAGGCATTTGATAGATTAAAAATGATATAAATATAACAACATGAATCTTTTTAATTTTTTAAGAAATATCTATAACAATGTAATTAACTATATATATATATATATTTATATATGATCTTTTAGCACAAAATGTTTTAAGCTTTAAGGAATTGATAAACATTTAATATATAATACATATAATTTTTTTTAAAAAAGATTTGGGTGTTTGAATCAAATTGGCCTCAATGTAAATTTGTGTGATTTTTCTCTAGGCCTGATTCTAAAAATTTTTTGAGCTTATTTGGATTTATCCATTAGGTTTGGGTCAAATTATTGGCTATATCTACAAGAATATAACTCACAAATTAAAGTAAGTCCAAGAGATAGGGGAACCAAGTTCCAAATGATGCTAAAAAATCTTGGGCAACTAATGTTCAAAATAACACAAAGGACATTCTTATATATTCAGAGGTTGCTCATTTGATAAAATTGTAATGAGACACACACACACACACACACAAAAAGATAATTGGAAAGAAATATTTTTGTATATATATGCCTATATGTGTTAATTAAAGAATGGCATATATAGGAGTTCACAGGAAAATTGTGTAAAGTTTAAAACATTTTGTTCATTCATGCAAAAGGTTATTTGGTTCACAAGTTAAATTGTGAAAATGCTATTGAATGATAGCTTTGTGAACTTTCACAGATTGTGATGGTGTTGTCAAACATGGAAACATCAAACAAATGGAAAGAATCGAATCCACAATGATTTAGGGAAAAGTTTGGGTATGAATTCGATAATCAACAGGTAAATGGGTTCTTATGGTGATATAGAACACCATACCACTTGAATTCAATACCAAATCCATTCTCATTATTGTAAAACAGGATTCTCTTATTATTTACTAAATTTGTTTGGATAATTACAGGTAATAGAGAAACCATAACAAATAAATTATATTTTCCAAAAAAAATTATCAAATAGGGATAATAAAACTTTTAATTCCTCAAATTTATCTTAATTATTAATTTAATTTTTAAGTTTTTCTTATTTATCGATTTAGTTTGTTTAGTTTACTTTGTTTATAGTTTTGGTCTTATTATTGTGCCACACAAGCTCCTAGACACATGGGCCTATTATTGGGCCTATTCCACCCACTTTTTTTTTTTTTTAATTTCACTTGTGTTATGGTTTCTTCATTTTTTTGAGCTAAAAAAAAACATTGGGCTAACAATTTTTGTGTTTAGTTTGCTTATTGTAGAATTAACATATAAAATTTTGAAAAATATAAATATATATATATATATATATATTCATCTTGTGATTTGGCAATCAATTGTTCCATAATTAACCATTATAAGAGTGCTTTGGTGATTTTTTTTTTCCAGTAAAATATTTTTATTAATAAATAATCATATTGAAGAGCACCTTTGGTCCACACTGTTGTGTAGGACAAAAATGAGGGGGGAGAGATTGGATGGTGAAAGTTGACAAAGTAGCTAGTCAAAAGGTGAAGGAAGAGTAGAAATGAGAAGGTGAAGAAGAAGGTTGAAGGCGATAGAAAGAAGAAAGGAATGGGACATTGATGTCAATACAAATTTAAATTAGGATATTTTGGATTGAAAAAAATCCATTCTCAAGGAATGGACCCATTCCCATGGCTCTTAATGGAATGAAAAATATGTTAAATGAGGTAATGAGTCAAATGAGGTCATGAGCCATTCTATTGAAATGAGTTCACTCATACACCAAATAATTAAAATAATCATTCCTTCATTATTTTCATTCCATCACCCGTCATTCCTTTGTACCAAGCAAAGGCTTGATTATTTTCATTTAAAATTTTGAAAATTTAAATATAAACTTATATATATTGTTTATCTTGTACTTTTGTAATCACTTGCCACAAAATACACCATTATAAGAGAATTTTGGTGATTTTTTGAGTAAAATGTGTTTATTAATACATCATCATATTACAAATGCTAAAAAGATATTAGACTCCACACCAATTGTCAGAACTTTTACGCATTAAATTTATTATAAATTTTTAAATGAAATACATTTTATCAAAATTAACTCCCATTCAAGCGGACACATGTCTTCCATCTTTTTCTTTTTTCTTTAATTTTTTTACTTTTACAATTCATTTTCTGTTTTTTAACTATATTGAACTATTTGTCATTTTATAGAAAATGTATTTCATTAAAGACTAAAAACAGTAACATAGCCAATTAAAAAAAATGAACATAGCCAATTAAAAAAAAACAAAGAAGAAAGAAACGCAAGAAACACACAGACAAAAATGAAACAACAATCAAAACAGGAAAATTAAGAATCAACAAAGCACTTTATCCTTTAAAATTGGTCATTATTATGCTCTGCCACTTATTCTCTTGTGGGCCCCACTCTGAAGAAATTTCTCTTAAGCAATAAGTTCTTTGACAATTCTTTTTGCTCTCGTAGTTTCCAAGCAAATTCAATATCAAAAGACAGCATTAAAGTAAAGCAAAGTGATAATTGAAATATAGATTTGGAAACACGCTAAAAAGAATTGTAGGCTCATTGGTGATATCTATCCAAGTCTTCTATCTCTTTTCATTTAAAAATGTTTAAATTATTTTTACAATACAAATTGTTTTGTTTAAAGTTATCTGGCAAAAACTATATATTATATATATATATATATATTATGTCAAAGCAAGAATTGAGAGAGAATCAAATAATTTATGGTCACTACTAAAAAATATCGTATATAACGCCTCATATTCAACGGTTATAAGAAAAAACATTGAATAAAAAAAGGTGGGATTTTAAAAAACTATTCAGCGGTTAAAAAAATAACCATTAAATAAACTCCTCACAAAAACGCCTGGTGACATCACCCATATATTTAACGGTTCAGTAAAAGCAATCGTTGAATAAAGTGTTAGAATATTCAACGGTTAAAATAAAAAACTGTTGAATAAACGTTTCCAAAACCGCCTTATAACGTCATCTTATTATTCAACGGTTCCTTAAACAGAACCATTGAATAAACATTTATAATATTTAACGA